TCTTGGGTTTGGGGCTGGATAATTAACAGGATTACAGACATGGAGAGGGGCTTTTCACACGGGCAGGTGTTGGCAGGACCAGGGGGAATGGTTTGGAACTGAAGGAGGAGATATTTAGGTGGGATATTGGGAAGGAATTCCTGCCTGGGAGGGTGGGGAGAGGCTGGGATGGAATTCCCAGAGAAGCTGTGGCTGCCCCAGCCCTGGGAGTGTCCAAGGCCAGGTTGGAGAAGGGAAGGTTCCAAGGAGACCTGAGAGCCCCTTCCAGGGCCTGAAGGGGCTCCAGGAGAGCTGGAGAGGGACTTGGGACAAGGGATGGAGGGACAGGACACAGGGAATGGCTTCCCACTGAAATTTAGGTGGGATATTGGGAAGGAATTCCTGGCTGTGAGGTTGGGGAGGGGCTGGGATGGAATTCCCAGAGAAGCTGTGGCTGCCCCAGCCCTGGGAGTGTCCAAGGCCAAGTTGGAGCACTCTGGGATGGTGGGAGGTGTCCCTGCCCACGGTGGGGATGGGACTGGATGAATTTTTAGGTCCTTCCCGACCCAAACCATGCCAGGATTCTCTGGCTGTGCCAGCACTCGGAGCTGACAGGGCCGTGAACTCCGGAGGTGCCGGAGGATCCGAAGCACCAGGATTCCCCTCCTTAACTCCTTAACTCCTCCAGGGAAGCTGCTGGAGCCAGGAGAGGTCACACCACCTGCAGCTCTCAGAGGACAGGTGGAGCCTAAAGCATCACTCACAGAACAGCTCTGCAGGGCTCCGGGCGGGAATTAACGGGAATTCTCCGCTTGAGCAGCGGAGCCGCTCCGGGTGAGCCCAGGGAAGGACACTCTCTTCCCTCAGAAACGTGTCCTCAGCCCTTGGGAAGAGGGCTCAGGGGCAGCTCCCGGGACTTCCCAGGAAAAAAGGGGTGGGAGGTGGATTTATGGGAGGGATTTGGTGCCTCTCGACCAGATTTTCCCAACCCCAGAACCATAAAAGTTGGAAAAGACCTCCCAGATGGAGTCCAACACTCCTCCAAGGCCACCACTAAACACCAACCCACGTCCTCAAGAGTGGCTTTTAAATCCCTCCAGGGCTGGAAAACCCTTTTTCCAGGGAGGAATTTTCCCTTTCCCAGCCCTGGCTGGGGCTCGGCCTCACCATAAATCAGGAGCTGATTTTCCTTAATTGCCATTGGCAGGTAAATTAAACCCTTTAAGGGCCCGGAACCCTCAGGAATAACGAATATCTTTGCCCTGAAGTGAAGCCTCCAAGGGTGTGTCACTGCAGGATTTTCCAGTGTCACTTTGTCAGCACTCCAAAAAAAAAAAAAAAAAAAGGGAAAAAGAAGAAGTGCTTGGATCCCTTTCCCAGAGATTTATGGCATTCCAGAGGTGAATGGATTTTTGATTAGAGGAGCAGTTGGTTTGGGTGGTTTGTTTTTTTTTTTTGTCTCTCCCAAGTGGTGAGATAATGCTGGACCTCATTGAATTATCCAGGAGGAACAAATTCCCTTCCTGTCTCCATCCCTCCCTCCCTGCAGCACTAAATCCCTGCTCTGAGGTGCAGCCAGGATCCATATTCCCAAATGCCAGAGGGACAGGACACAGGGAATGGCTTCAAACTGAAAGAGGGGAAATTTAGGTGGGATATTGGGAAGGAATGTTCCTCAGGGAACTGGTATCCCAAGTTTCCCTGAGGACCATTCAGCTTTTTGGGGGATTTAAAAGAGGGAAAAGTCTTCCAGCAGGAGGATTTCCTGCAGCTCTGCTGCCCTTCCTGGGAGAGAGGGAGGAGTGGGAAGCTCCCAGCCAACCATTCCCACAGGCAGATGCTTTGGAATAGAGCCTTTGGGAGAGGGGAGGAATTTGGAGATGGAAGAGCACAGAATTCCAGCATGGATTGGGTTGGAAGGGACCTAAAATACCATTTCATCCAGGTTGCTCCAACCTGGCCTTGGACACTTCCAGGGATGGGGTAGCTTCTCTGGGAAAGCTGGGCCAGGGCCTCACCATCATTCCAGGGAGGAATTCCTTCCTAATCTTCTTCCTAATTTCTCCTGAGACCCTTTGGAGGTGCCTGGAGAGACCCAAAATTGGGACAGAAGCCCCTCTGGCACAGCTCAGCACCGGCCCTGCTCCTCCTGGCTCTTGCTCAGGGCAAAGACAAAGATCCCATTGATCCCATTGATCCCTATCCTGGAGACAATTCCAGGCAGGAGAACCCTGCCCGTCCCAGGCCATGGATCTGCTCCTGGAGAGCAGCTGAAGGGAGATAAAATCAGCAGGAGGTCATTGAAATGCAGCCACGGTTCCCAGTGGGAGCAGAGCTGGGACCAGGGGAGAGGAGCAGTGGGAGGGAGGGAAGGAGGGAGAGAGGAATGGAGGAACGGATGGATGGATTTATGGATGGATGGAGGGAGGGAGAGATGGATTTATGGATGGAAGGATGGATGGAGGGATGGATGGATGGAGGGAGGGCTGGATGGAAGGATGGATGGATGGAGGGAGGGATGGATGGAGGGACAGATGAAGGGATGGGCTGGCTAAACTGGGCTGGAGTGGACTGGGCTGGGCTGGGCTGGGTTTTAATAGCTTGGGCTCAATTGGAATGGACTGGGGTGGGCTGAAATGGACTGGGCTATACTGGGCTAAATTGGGGTTAGGCTGGACTAGGCTGGATTGGCTAAACTGGGCTGGAATGGACTGGGCTGGGCTGAGCTGAACTGGACTGGGCTGAGCTGGAATGGACTGGGCTGGGCTGAGTTGGGAATGGGCTGGACTGGGCTGGATTGGCTAAACTGGGCTGGAATGGACTGGGCTGGGCTAGAGTGGACTGGTTTGGGCTGGAGTGGACTGGGCTGGGCTACTGGACTGGGCTGAGCTGAACTGGACTGGGCTATACTGGGCTGAGTTGGGAATAGGCTGGACTATGGGATTCGGGAGCATCCCAGGGATTCAGGAGCATCCCAGGGATTCAGGAGCACCCCAGGCTGTGGGTCTGGACGGACACACACCCGGGAGGATCTCAGAGGGGCAGAGATGCAGCCCTGGGGATTAGAGGGGGGGTTATTTTTTTGGGGAGGGGGGGCCACAGGGACCCCGGAGCCGCAGGGGGGGGCGGGCAGGCTCAGCCCCCGGCCCCTCGCTCGCTCTCCCACGGTCTGGTTTTCCCCAGGCAGCGGCTCAGGAAACTTCTCCCGGCTCCAGTTGCTGCGCTCCACCTTTTATTCTAATCGCTCCCGCATCGCCATAGGAACCCGCTCCAGCGGGAGCCAGGAGCGGCTCCTTCCCGGAGCGCTCTTCCCCCGGCATGCAAGGCATGGAAACCGGCATTCCAGGTACTATCCGTGCCCCTCTGGAATGCTCCCGCCGCGGGCACTGTGAGGAGGGGGGTACCGGGGACCCCCCACCCCTCCCGGGCTCGGGGTCCGGGATATCTGCTGGATGTTGTCCAGTGTGGGTGGAGAGGGCGGGAGCGCGGGATTTGGGGTGGGAAGAGCCTTTTCTGGGGGGTCTGGATGCTCTCTGGGTGGTTTGGGAGCGGCGGGGAGGAGGGGGGGGTTTCCCGTGTGTGCCGGGATGAGCAGGGAGGGGAAGGGTCCTGCTCCTGGCTGGGCTTCCCCGGGAGGAGCAGGGATTCCAGAGCCTGGGATTTAGGGGGAAAACATCCCTGCTTAGCTGGGATTGGGCTGAACATCCCCCTTGGGCCGAAGGGTTGGCCCTTTCTCTCCCAAAAACGTGGATGGGACATCCCTGGCACTCGGGGGGAGGGGGATGATCCACCTGGCATGTCCCAAATTATTGGATCCTGTGGAGCTGCCAGGCTGGGAGAGCCTCTCCAGGGCGGCTCCATGGCTTTGGAGAGCTGCTGGAGGGGGAATTGGCATTCCTGTTATCCACAGGTTTAGCAGGAAACCGGCCAAGCTCCCACATGGGGGGTTTGGGGGTCAGACCCGGAATGCCGGTGCTGAGGTGGAAGGTGCTGGAAGAGGGATGTTGGGAGAGGGGTTTGGAGAAAATGAGGGGATATCTGGGCACCTGAGGGATCCTGCTGAGCCTCAGGATCTTCCTGGGGCATCCAGGATGTCTCCTGGAGCCCGGATCTCCTCGTCCATGATGACAGAGAGGGGCCGAGGGGATCCACAGAGGAGCCCCTGAATCCTCCTGTGGGCATCAAACACCCCCAAACACGGGCTGTGGCACCTCAGGGAGGGCTGGCACTGCCTGGCCAGGGGTTGGCCTGGTGGGATATGGGAGGATGAACCCCTGGGAAGGTCGGGAACAGCCAGGCTGGAGGTGGAAAGGGGTCTCACCCTCCCTCCCTGGGCACCTCGGGGGGCAGGAGGGTCTCTCCCTGCCAGGGAGGGTCGGTGGAGGGGGCAGTGCCAGCTCATTCCCTGGCAGCAGTAAGAGGGAAGCTGGGGAGGGGAAAGGAGGGGGACTTTCCCAGGGAATTGCATTCCCAAAATGGGAAACAACTTTATTCCTGGCTGAGGAAGGACAGAGGGGAAGGCCCCAAACCAGCAAACCTGAACCTGGGGCAAGGAGAGGAGCAGATTTCCAGGGAAAACACAGCTTGGGGAGTCACAGGAAGGTAGGAATACGGGAATAAAGGAATGCAGGACGAGAGGAATACAGGACAACAGGAATACAGCCAGTTTGTGACAGCTGAGCCCTGTTTGCTCCCAGCTCCAGGGTGCATCCCATAAAAAGGTGCCAGGAGGTCCCAGTGTGGGGCAGAACCCCCTGAGGACAAAGTGCAGCCCAAATTCCAGGGGTTTTTATCCCGCTGGGAGTCGAGCTCCCCCCGGCAGAGCCCCTGCCTGAGCTCAGCCCAAGATCCAGGCTCGATCCCAGCAGGATTCCTGGGCTGGATCCAGGAGCGACGTTGACTGAAAAAGGCAAGGAATTCCTGCAGGGAATCTGGGAGCTCCTGTGGGAGCAACAGGGTGACCAGGGAGGCACAGAGAGAGGCCTCCATCCCACCTGGGACAGACAGACAGACCCTCCTGGGACAGACAGACCTTCCTGGGACAGACAGACCTTCCTGGGACAGACAGATCCTGGCTCTGGAGGTGAAGGGGAAGGGGGGAGGGAGCTGCACCTCCCAGCAAAGCCTTTTCCCATCTCCAAGGAGCTAAAACTCAGGAATAGAAGAGAAGGCTCCAGGGAGACCTTCCAGGGGTTTATAAGAAAGGTGGGATAATGGTTTTGGGGCTAAAAGCAGGGAGATTCCTGTTGGAGATCAGGAGGGAATGTTTTATGAGGAAAGTGGGGAGAAGCTGGGATGAAACCATTCCCTGTGTCCTGTCCCTCCAGCCCTTGTCCCAAGTCCTTCTCCAGCTCTCCTGGAGCCCCTTTAGGCCCTGGAAGGGGTTTAAGGTCTCCTTGGAACCTTCTCTTCTCCAGCCTGGCCTTGGACACTCCCAGGGCTGGGGCAGCCACAGCTTCCTCTGGGAATTCCATCCCAGCCCCTCCCCACCCTCCCAGGCAGGAATTCCTTCCCAATATCCCACCTGAACCTTCCCTTTTCCTTTAAAACCACCTCCCCATCCCCAATTTTTTTTTCTACAACCACCTCCCAACACCCAAAGCTCCCCCTGCTGCCTTCCCTCCTTGGGGCTCCTGGGTTTTCCCACTCCCAGGTCAGAAAGCTGGGATAATCAGGAATGTCTGGGAGCATCCAGGGAGCAGAGGCTGTGCCCCCTCCCTGCTGCCAGCCCAGAGGTGCCCAGAGGTGCCAGGGAGAGCCCTCCCTTCCCGGCCAGCTGGATCCCTCCTCCTCCAGCTCCGTCCCCGCCGCCTCCTTGTTTGGAATAAACATCTCGTTAGGTCCCGAATTACCGCGGAATTCGTGTTTCACAGCCGGGAAAAGCTCGGCCCAACCCCCTGGAATTGTTGACAGGGCTCCTCTTCCTCCGTGAGCGCCGTTTCCTCGCTCGTGTTCTTCTTTTTAGTTACTAAGGGAACATGAATCTTAATAAAACTCCATCAAATGTGCCTGAAATAACAGCTGCCTTCAGCCCACTGCCTGAGCACAGGGCTGGGGCTCGGCTCAGAATTCCTGGGAAATTCAGATTACGGATCCAAAAGGTCTTTGGGGTTGGAAGAAACCTTAAAGATCATCTTGTTTCCATGGGCAGGGACACCTCCCACTAGCCCAAGGTGCTCCAAACTGGCCTTGGACACTCCCAGGGATGGGGCAGCCACAGCTTCTCTGGGAAATCCATCCCAGCCCCTCCCCACCCTCAGCCAGGAATTCCTTCCCAGTATTCCATCTAAATTTCCCCTCTTTCACTCTGAAGCCATTCCCTGTGTCCTGTCCCTCCATCCCTCATCCCAAATCCCTCTCCAGCTCTCCTGGAGCCCCTTCAGACCCTGAAAGGGGTTTAAGGTCTCCTTGGAACCTTTTCTTCTCCACCCTGGCCTTGGACACTTCCAGGGATCCAGGGGCAACCACAGCTTCTCTGGGAAAACCTTTTCCAGGGCTTCCTGATTCTTCCCACAGCAAGAGGGAAATCCTTTCTCCTGAATACTCCGGGATATAAAACCAGGGATACTGTTGAGCAGAAAATTTTGAATTTTGTCCTGAATGTGCCTCTTCTTCCCGGGATTTGGGATGGGAGCCAGCTGGGCATCTCCAGCTCCAAATGATTTATTGGGCTTCGTTGTCCAAGGATTTCTCGCAGCTCCAGTGCCAGGATCCCCCAAGGGGAATTTTCCCAACCTGGATGTGTCCATGGGAAGCACCAGGGGAGGTTTAGGCTGGATGGGTCCTGGTATCTCCCAGAGGGGCTTTTGGGGGTTTTTTTCTGGAGTTTCCACAGCACTGGGAGCACTCAGGCTCTGGGGGCTGCAAGGGGGGGATTGGTGGGGGTGGTCTGGAAAGGTTGGTGTGGATGTTCTCCTGGAAAGGTTGGTGTGGATGTTCTCCTGGGGAGATTGGTGTGGATGTTCTCCTGGAAGAGTTAGTTGGATGTTCTCCCAGGAAGGTTGGTTGGATGTTCTCCTGGGGAGGTTGGTTGGATGTTCTTCAAATGATGTTGGTTGGATGTTCTCCCAGGAAGGCTGGTTGGATGTTCTCCTGGAAAGGTTGGTGTGGATGTTCTCCTGGGGAGGTTGGTTGGATGTTCTCCTAAAGAGGTTGGTTGGATGCTCTCCAAAGGAAGTTGGTGTGGATTTTCTCCCTGGGAGGTTGGTTGGATATTCTCCTGGAAAGGCTGATGTGGATGTTCTCCAAAGGAGGTTGATTGGATATTCTCCTGGAAAGGTTGGTTGGATGTTCTTCTGGAAAGGCTGATGTGGATGTTCTCCCAGGAAGGTTGGTTGGATGTTCTCCCAGGGAGGTTGGTGTGGATGTTCTCCCAGGGAGGTTGGTGTGGATGTTCTCCCAGGGAGGTTGGTTGGATGTTCTCCAAAGGAAGTTGCTGTGGATGTTCTGGAAAGGTTGATTGGATGTTCTCCCAGGGAGGTTGGTTTGGATGTTCTCCTGGAAAGGTTGATTGGATGTTCTCCAAAGGAGATTGGTGTGGATGTTCTCCCAGGGCTGCCGCCGTGGATTTTCTCCCGCGTTACCTCCCTCCAGAGCTGCCAACTCCAGATGTGCCTCGTGCTCCTCGTGACCCCCAGTGACTCCCCAGCCCTCTAACCCCCTCTGCCCTCTCTGTCCCTCTGCTCTGCCCCCCCAGCCCAGGAAAGCTGGACCCTGGAGACCTTCCCTCAGTGACGTGGCTGCTCGGACACGGCCTCCCCCTGCTCCTGCTGCAGTAGCAATGCTAGTGTGCCCACGGAGCTGCAGTGAGGTGGGTGCCCTCCTTCTCCTCCTGGAACCAGCCCCTGCTGCTGCCCAGCCAAAGGGAGGACAGCTGGACACGTGTCCCTCAGCAGGAGGGAGCACTTTCCGACCTTGTGTCCATCCTCTGACTGCAGAGTGAGGGAATTTTTGGTGGGAATTACCTGGGGTTTGGGTCCCTCTCCAGAGGATTTCTGGGGATTTGGGACTGGACAGACAAGTTCTGCACCAGTGCCCTGCACTGCCCACCCACCCCACGCCCTTGTGCCCCTCGCGGGTGGCTTCTCGAGCTTGCTAAAAAAACAGGAATCCCCTTGGGAGCTTCCCTGCCCTTCCCTGTGCCCGTTGCTGTGTCCTGAGGCCAATTCCTGCTCCCTCACCACCTCTGCTTTCCCATGTGCAGTTCCTCCTCCCTCACCAGCTCTGCCTTCCCCATGACCAATTCCTTTCCCCATGGCCAATTCCTTTCCCTGTGTCCAATTCCTCTCCCTATGACCAATTCCTTTCCCTGTGTCCAATTCCTTTCCCTGTATCCAATTCCCTTCCCTGCATCCAATTCCTTTCCCTGTGTCCAATTCCTTTCCCTGTGTCCAATTCCTTTCCCTGTGTCCAATTCCTTTCCCTGCATCCAATTCCCTTCCCTGCATCTAATTCCTTTCCCTGTGTCCAATTCCCTTCCCTGTGCCCAATTCTCTTCCCTGCATCCAATTCCTTTCCCTGCATCCAATTCCTTTCCCTGCATCCAATTCCTTTTCCCCCGACCTTTCCCTCTTTCCCCATGGCCAAATCCTTTCCCCGTGCCCAAATCCTTTCCCCGTGCCCAACCCCTCCTCCCTCACCGCCTCTCTTTCCCCTCCAGGATCTCTGGGCTCTGGCAGGAGCGCTCCCCGCGCCGGTGCCCATGGAGTGAGCGGTGCCCGGGGGTGAGCGGGCACAGCAGGACGCTGAAGTTTGGCTGCCCCGGCCCCGCCAAAATCCCTCCCCGTCCCTCCCGCGCCCCCCGCCCTCTGCCATGAATGATGCGTCGACCATGGATTATGAAAACTGCTCTCCCGCCGTCCCTGGTGAGCACCCGGCGGGCGCCGCGGGCATGGACGCCGAGCAGAAAACTGTCTTTGCCTTCGTCATCTTCCTCCTGGTCTTCTTGGTGATGCTGATGGTTCGCTGCTTCCGAATCCTGCTGGACCCCTACAGCCGCATGCCCGCCTCCTCCTGGACCGACCACAAGGAGGGCTTGGAGAGGGGCCAGTTTGACTTAAATGCCCTGGTGTAGAGGGCAGGGCTTGGGGCGAGCCCGGGCGCTCCCCGTGCCCCCAGCCCGGGCCCGGCCCCCCTTCCCTCCGCGGGGATGCTCCGGGCACCGCGGCGCTGAAGCTCTGGGCCGGGGAGACGCGGCGTGTCGGGGGTGGGGGGGAGTTTTCTAGGGGTTTCTCTCTTTTCTAAGCACTTTTCGGTTCTCTCTTTGCAGCCCGGGAGGGAGGGATGGGGGGTCGGGGGGCTGAGCCGGCTCCGCGCGGTGCCCGCCCTGCCCGCGGGGCACGAGGGGACGGGACGGGGCATGGCGGGACCTGCCCTCGGCTCTGCCCGGTGCCACGGCAGAGCTCTGACCCTCTCCCCTTCCTCCTCCTGCCCCTTCCCAGTCCGTCCCCCCCGTCCGTGTCCCCCGGGGAGCGCTGCCCGTGGTCCAGCGCGCGTGTGTGTGTGTGTCCCTGTAGCTGAGCTGTGTCCGTCGGGGGGGTTTCCAGGCACCAGACCCAAGTGCTGGCTTTGTTCCTCTCCGCGTGGCAGCCCCAAGAACCCCCCCTACAAAAGGAAGGGGAGGTGGAGACCCCCCGTGTGTGTGCAGCCCCCTTTTTTTGGGCCTCCAGCCCCGCAGCCGCTCTTTGCTTCCGCGGTGCCCCGTCCCCGCCCGGCTGGTGACGGTGGCCCTGGGCGAGGTGCAGCCCCGCCTGGGTGGCCCTGCTGGGATTCCAGGAGGGATCAAAGATCCCACACAACACCTGGGAGATGCTCCTCAGCCAGCCCCGGCCTGGCAGCCCCCCCCTCCCGGTGCCCCGTGCCCCGTTCCAGCAGGACCTGGGTGGCCTCTCCGTGCCCAGGGGGTCGCTGGGGGTGGCTGGCCCTTCCCTGGCCGTCCTGATTTTGGGAATCCGAGGGGCTGTGGAAGTAGATGAGGGGGATCAAGGCTGTTTTCTCCGTGCTTGGGGAGCAGGGGTGCTCAGCTGGCCGCGGGGTGGGCTGTGGCCGTGGGCCAGCAGGAGGGTTTGGAGGAAGGGATTGGAGCCCACGGGGGAGAGAGAAGCTCTGCCCCCTCCATGGAAATAAAGCTGCACTGTGCTAACCCCACCCAGCTCCAGCTCTGCTCTTTGGTGTCCCTCAGGTCCTCGGGGGAAATCCCAAATCGTGGGGGGCTGCCCCATGTCCAGGGGGAGATCCCAAATCCTGGGGGTTGCCCCATGTCCAGGGGGAGATCCCAAATCCTGGGGGACTGCCCCATGTCCCAGGGAGAGCCCAAATCCCGAGGGCTGCCCCATCTCCCAAGGGAACTCCAAATCCTGGGGGCTGCCCCATATCCCAGTAGAGACCTCAAATCCTGGGGGGCTGCCCCATCTCCAGGGGGAAATCCCAAATCCTGGGGCACTGCCCCATCTCCAGGGGGAAATCCCAAATCCTGGGGCACTGCCCCATCTCCAGGGGGAGACCCCAAATCCTGGGGGGTCCGACACAAACCTGTCCCCCCACTCGGAGCCCCGGGAGCTGTTGGAGGGGCGGTCGGAGCCCCCGGGCCCCTGTTTTCCCTGTTTCCCCTGTTTTCCCTGTTTCCCCTGTTTTCCCAGCTCCCAGTGCTGCTCCCGCTGCCCCCGGGAAGGTTCGGGGGGTCCCTCCCGGTGGCCGATGCGCGGTCCCGCCCTGCCCTCTTGTGTCTGCAATGGGAAGCCAGGAAGAGTTTCCTAAAACCGGGAACATCAGCCTGGAAGGAGGGTTGGAGCCGAACTCAACCAGCCGGACGCCGACCCGACAGGCGACCCGATCAGCGGCCGAGCTGTGCCACCGCCCCCCGTCCCCTGCTCGGTGGCAGGAGGGGTCCTGATCCTGCCGGGGGTGCACCAGGGGCCGAGGGTGGGCGCGGGACAGGCGGTGACATCGCTGGCCCCTCCCCGGGCAGGGTATCCTCTCCATCCCCTCCATCGTCTCCATCCTCTCCATCCCTTCCATCCCCTCCGTCCTCTCCATCCCCTCCATCCTCTCCATCCCCTCCATCCCTTCCATCCCCTCCTTCCCCTCCATCCCCTCCCTGGCCCCTCTGGCAGCACTTTTGGTGCCTCTTTCATCCTTGTCATGGTCCCTGTCCCTCCCTCAGCCCCGCAGCAGCCACAGGCTGGGCACAGACACCCCTTCCCCAGGCTGGCACCTCTGGCATCACCCTCATTCCACTCCCCTGCCTGGGAGAGGGAATCATGGAATCGCAGGTTTGGGGTGGGAGGGACCTTAGAGCTCATCCATGGGCAGGGACACCTTCCATCATCATCCCAGGGAGCTCCAAGCTGGCCTTGGACACTTCCAGGGATGGGGTAGCCACAGCTTCTCTGGGAATTCCATCCCAGTCCCTCACCACCCTCCCAGCCAAGAATTCCTTCCCAATATCCCACCTAAATTTCCCCACTTTCACTTTGAAGCCATTCCCTGCGTCCTGTCCCTCCATCCCTCGTCCCAAGTCCCTCTCCAGCTCTCCTGGAGCCCCTTTAGGCCCTGGAAGGGGCTCCAAGGTCTCCCTGGATCCTTCCCTTCTCCAGGCTGGACAATCCCACCTGTGTCTCCACAGAAGCTGCACGTTGGGGCTTGGATGGATCCTCCCACCCCCACCAGCCCCACCCCAAATCCGTGCTCAGATAAGGAAGAAACACAGACCCACTTATAACCCAAAATAATTTTATTGTTGCTGTTGCTTCTGATACAAAAAAAAAAAAAAAAAAAGGAATTCCACAAAGAGCCACCTCTCTGTGCGGGACAAGGGGCACAAGGTTTTGGGTTTCCACACTTTTCCCCCCTTTCTCCACAAAAAAAACCAAAACCAAAAAAACAACAAACCAACCAACCAGCAAAAAATGTCAATACAAAATTAAAAAAAAACCAAAAAACAACAACAAACCAAAAACCAAATCAAAACACCACCCCAGAGAGGAAGGAAGGAAACCTTGAGCTTTTTCATTTGAGATTTTTTTTTTTTTTGGCTCAACACACACACACAAAACCCAGCTCTGCTAATTTATAATTATTAATAGGTTTGGGTTTTGGTTTTGCCTTTTTTTTTTTTTTTTTTTGTTAAAAAAAAAAGCACCTGTTGGAAAACAAAATGAAATAAAATGAAACAAAATAATAATAAAAAAATAAAATAAAAAAAAATAAAACCAAAACCAACAAAGAAAACCATCCCAAACATCAGGCCACCCATCCTGTCACAAGCTCTGGGGGGGGGGGAACTCTTGTAAAATCCAGAGTCTGGAGCTGCAAAAGAGTTTTCAAGTTTGACTTCAGCCCCCAGTACAGTAAACACACACTTCCCCCACCCCCTGGGGACCAGGAAAATCCCACCCAATTCCCAAAAAAATAATAAAAACCCCCAAAAGCTCCAGGAATCTGCACTCCTCCCGAGGCCCAGGGAGCAGGACTTTGGTGGTTCTCCATAAATATGAGGGGTGGTGGGGACAGTGCAGCAACGCCGGCGAGCCCGATCCAGCCCCGGCTTCCCGGAGCTGGGAGCACCTCGGGGCTGGGATAAGGTAGTTCCGTGTGAATTAGCACCTTTTGTCCATTTGGGAACTGCAGAGAGAGAGAGGTTCATGCAGGATTTAGGGAATGGCAGCACAGGGAAGGACATCCGGAGGGAGGGGAGGAGGAAAAGCCCGGCTGGAATCACGGGGGGAAGCAGGGAGCCCTCCTGCCTCTGGATTCCTGTTTTCCACACCCTCTGGAGCGCATCCCATCTGCAGGAACCAGAGACTGTCCATCTCTGGGGCCACCTTGATGGAGGGGACAACCAGAGGGGGGGGACTCCTGGTCAGGGGGATGTGGCCACAAGCACCGGAGTCGCACGGACAGAGCGGCTCCGAGCCCAGGGTTCTTTTGGAAGTGGCTGTTCCTGCCTCTCACCCCGTCCCCATCTTGCTTTTCCCGGGATTTTCATGGCTGCTGGCCATGGAATGTGCCCCTGCAAAGTGGGATGTGCATCTTCCCAAGCCCTCCACCCCTCTAACATGGGAAGCATCCCGGTGCTCTCTGCCGGGATCACGAGGTGCTTCCCACCGGCTTTGTCCAACCACACCCAACCAGGCACTTCAATCCCTCTGCCTTTCCCCAGAGCTCCTCCTCGGGAGGACACCTGAACCCCTGGACTTGCTGGAGCTCTGGGAAAGCCCTTCCAGCTCCACACTTGTCCAGTCTATCCTGGTGGGAAGACCTGAGGTGTCCCAACAGGAGCCTGTGGTCCCACGGCCTGGTTGCTTTGGGATGGGAGGGGGGCACCCTGAACTGGCCTTTTTGTTCAGAGGGGACCTTTGCTGCTTGAAAGAGGAGCCCCAAAAGCACCAGAGGAATCTCAAAGGGATCAGAGGAGCCCCCAAGGACCAGAGGAGCCCTAAAAGCACCAGAGGAGCCTCAAAAGGACCAAAGGAGTCCCCAAGGACCAGAGGAGCCTCAAAAGGACCAGAGGAGCCTCAAAAGCACCAAAGGAGCCCCCAAAGACCAGAGGAGCCCCAAAGGGATCAGAGGAGCCCCAAAAGACCAGAGGAGCCCCCAAAAGACCAGAGGAGCCCCAAAAGACCAAAGAAGCCCTAAAGGGACCAGAGGAACCCCCAAAAGGCCAGAGGAGCCCCAAAGGACCAGAGGAGTCTCAAAAGGACCAGAGGAGCCCCCAAAGCACCAGAGGAGCTCCAAAGGGATCAGAGGAGCCCCAAAAGCACCAGAGGAGCCCCCAAAAGACCAGAGGAGTCCTAGGGGCACCAGTGGAGCCCTAAAGGACCAGAGAAGCCCTAAAGGGACCAGAGGAGCCCCAAAAGCACCAAAGGAGCCCCAAAGGGACCAGAGGAGCCCCAAAAGCACCAAAGGAGCCCTAAAGGGACCAGAGGAGCCCCAGAGGGACCAGAGAACATGGAGAAGACAGCGAGAGACAGAGCACAGCCAGGGCAGGGATGGGATGGTTTCTGCAGCACCATCCTGACAACGCAGAAGCAAAGGAGGAACGAGAGCTGTTGGGAAAGGCACTGACACCAGGCCCTGCCAAAGCTCCTTCCCAAGCTTTCCCCAGGCCCCCCTCACATTTCCCGGGCTGTGGGGTGGGACATGACCATGGAGGCACCCCATGGCACCACCCTGCCAGCTTGGACAGTGTCTTGGTTGCAGGAGCCAGGAGGGAGCTGAGCAGGGGGCGGGGAGTCCCTGCCGGCGAGGGGCTGGAACCTTTGGCGAGGTTTGGAACCCTCGGCAAAGCTCCCGGGAGCTCTGGGTGCGGCTTTGGCTCACGGAGCAGAGCTATCCCAGGTGCTGATCCCAGAAGGACGTTTCCCAGGGGGCCGTTTCCCGGGGTTTCCAGGCGGTGGCAGGAGGGGGGCGGCGGCGCGAGAGGAGGAGCCCGTTTGTCCCCGAGGCGTGGATGGCGAGAGGAGAAGGGCCGTGACTGTCGGGGTGGGTGGGTGGATGGATCCCGTGGGGGGGGTTTCTCTTTTTTTTTTTTAGTAGAGCTGGAGCTGGAGCTTCATCCTCAGTGCCTGGCCCAGCTCCCCCGCCAAGTAGTCGAGGTGGTTCTTGGCCTCGAGTTTCTGCAGTTCCCGCCTGCGGTACAAGGGCACGCTCACGATCTCCAGCAGGTACGTGCCGGGCAGGATTTTCTTGCGGCCCAGGTGGAGGAAGCTGAGCCCTTCCTTCTGGTGGATGCGGAAATAGCCCTCCTCGTTGCCCTGGGAGATGAGGTACCGCACCCGGTTCTCCAGGGGCTCCACGGCCGGCAGGAGCTCCAGGATGTGCTCCTTGCGCGCCAGGTCCGAGAGGTTCAGGGTCATGGACAGCGGGGCCTCCACGTCCATGCTGGCCAAGTTCACAGCGTGGTCCTGCCAAGGAAGGGGGTGTGTCACTCACAGAACCCCCCAGCACCTCGGGGCCCGGGGGAGGAGGGTGTGATTTCGGGGAGTTCTGCCCCAAACCGGCTCTGAGAAGTAACAGCGACTTCCATACGTTCAGCCCTTGGAATGGGCTGCCCAGGGAAGGGGGGGATTCTCCATCCCTGGAGGTTTTTAAGAAGAGACTGGATGTGGCATCAGTGCCATGGGCTGGGAACCACAGCGGGGTTGGATCAAGGCTTGGATTGATGATCTCGGAGGTCCCTTCCAACCCAGCTGATTCCATGATTCTATGATTCCATGGTTCTATGATTCTGTGATTCCATGGTCCTTAATCTCCTACAAGTGTTTCTCGGTGCCCTGGTTGTGTCATCTGACACCTGAACCAGCCACCACACAGCCCTCACTGCAAGAGGCAGGACCAGGAACCTTCAGAGCCAACTAAATGACCTCCCAGTCCAACCTGCCAGGGCTGTAAAATTCTTGGGGGAGCCTTGGACAGAGGCCAGAATCTCTTGTGGGAGGAATAACCCTGTATTTAACAGTGACCTAGGCCCAGCCCTGGGTCAGACAGTGAGTGCTGAGAGCCCTCAGTGACCCTGTGGGAACTTCTCCTCCATCACCTCCCCTCGCTCAGAAACACAGAGTTGGTTTGGGCTGGGAGGGACCTCAAAGCTCATCTCATTCCACCCCCTTGCCATGGGCAGGGCCACCTTCCACTGTCCCACATTGCTCCAAGCCCCGTCCAACCTGGCCTTGGACATTCCCAGGGATGGGAAACACCTGCTTTATCTCTTGGCTTCACGGATCTCCACACATCTGTGGCCAAACCACACAAGTGTGTGTCACCTCAGGGTGTCCCAAACTCCAAAGATCCCCAATTCCCGCAGGACTTGTGGACTCAGGGCCGGCCCCAAACACCCCAGGCGGGTGTGGGGTGAGCTGCTCTGGCTGGACTGAGGCAGGACCCACTATTTCCCAAGTGCCCCAGGTCTTGCCTTGCCCCCCAGCCCACCCAGGGTGCCGTGGGTGTCCCACCTGGTGCCTCTCGGTGCCGTTGAGGCTGCGGCGCTGCCGGCCCCTCTTGGGGTAGCCGTTGATCTTGCACTCGTAGCAGGTCTCGGGGGAGAGCAGGTTGTCCTCATCCTCTTCCTGGGGGGCAGGCAGGTAGGGACCTTTCCCAAAGCCCAAGCCAGAGATACAGTGTCTGGGGGCAGAAGAGCAGAGAGACCCAGCTCAGAGCCGTGATCCGAACAGAAGTGTCACCACTGCCCTCGGAGGTTGTCCCAGAGGGCTTGTGCTCCAGTCCCTTCTCCAGCCTCGTTGCTCTCCTCTGGACCTGCTCCAGGACCTCAATGTCCTTCCTGAGCTGAGGGCCCAGAACTGGACACAGCACTCCAGGGGTGGCCTCACCAGTGCTGAGTCCAGGGCAAGAATCACTTCCTTGGACCTGTTGGCCACCCTGTTCCTGAGCCAGGCCAGGATCCATTGGCCTTCTTGTCCCCCTGGGCACACTCTGGCTCCTGTTCAGCTCCCTGTCCATCCCCACTCCCAGCTCCCTTCCTGCCTGGCTGCTCTCCAGCCCCTCTGGCCCCAGCCCGTGGAGCTGCCGGGGGTTGTTGTGGCCAAAGTGCAGGACCCGGCCCTTGGCCTGCTTGAACCTCATCCCCTTGGAATCAGCCCATGGATCCAGCCTCTCCAGGTCCCTCTGCAGAGCCCTCCTGCTTCCAGCTGCTTCGATTGTTTTGGAACAAAGCCGTCTGGGAAGGTGCGACGTGCCTCACTTACCCTTGTCCCGCCGGAAGTGAGCCGCCGGGCAGCCCGCACAGGTACCCCCGTTCCGTGTTGGAGCAGCCGTAGCTGCAGGGGCTGCCCCCCGGCCGAGCACTCGTCCACGTCCTGGCAGCCCCCGAAGGCCTGGTCGAAGTCAAAGCCCGAGGGACACACGCACTTGAAGCTGCCCAGGGTGTTGTAGCAGGAGGCAGAGCCGCAGGCGGTGGGGCTGGAACACTCGTTCTCGTCTGCGGGGGCGGCACAAAGGGGCGCAGGCTCAGGGGAGGGCGGGACGCGGTGCTCCCACCCCGCCCGGAATTCCCAGCAGGATCCCCGAGAGCCCAAAAGGCTGCTGGGGGAGGGGGGGTTATCCTGCTGCTGGTGGCAGAGCAGCTTCCTGGCATTCCCTGTTCCTGGGAGAAGCTGGGGCAGGGCAGGGGGGGTCCAGCCCTGGGAAATGTCCCGGTCTGTCTCTGGGGTAGGGCAGGAATATCAGCGGGATGAACCCAAACCCAGTGTCAGAGGGGGCTGAGGGGGGTGGAGAGGGACTGGGGGCTCGGCTGCCCTCCATCCTGCATCCCACGGGTATGGGATACACCCACAGGAATGGGATAGACCACAAGTATGGGATACACCCCACAGCTAAGGGATACACCCCACAGCTAAGGGATACACCCACAGGTACAGGATACACCCCACAGGTACAGGATATGTCCCATAGGTGTGGGATACACCCCACAGTTATGGGACACACCCCACAGCTATGGGATACACCCCACAGTTATGGGACACACCCCACAGGTACAGGACACCTCCCACAGGTAGGGGACACACCCCACAGGTAGGGGACACACCCCACAGGCACAGGACATACCCACAAGCACAGGACACACCCTAGAGGTATGGGACATCTCCCACAGGTACAGCATACATCCCATTGTAAGGGACACACCCCACAGGTACAGGACACACCCCACAGGTATGGGATACACCCACAGGTACAGGACACACCCCATAGTTAAGGGACACACCCCACAGGTACAGGACACCTCCCACAGGCCCAGGACCCCAGTCTCACTCACCCACACACTGGTTCCACTGGTAGTGCTGGACGTAGCCCTGGGGGCAGCCACACCTGTACCCCCCCAGCACGTTCTGGCAGCCGTGCTGGCACCGGTGGTTCCCGTCACATTCGTCCACATCTGCAGCAAAGGAACATGGGGCAGTGGGACAATGGGACAATGGGACAACAGGACAACTCCCCCCGGGCTGGGGGCCCCTCAGGGACCAGTGGGTGGGACCTCAGGGCCCTCAGGGACCAGCTGGACCTGCCTGGCACCCTGCAGGGTGCTCATGGGGGGGTGGTTCTGGTGCCCAGTTATGTCCCTGCAGTTGGCAGTGAGGGGAACTCTCAGCCCCAAGGCCCACAGACACCCCTGGGATGGGTTTGGAGTTAAGGTCAGGCCTGGACTCTGCTTCAGGCTGAGCACTGGCACTCCTCAGCAGGTCCCATGGCCAGCTTGAGATCTCTCCTGGTGGGACACAGGACCATTCCTGTCCCAGCTTGGCTGTGGCTGCAGCACTGAGACCTTCATTTCTTTTTCCAAGGGCCGGTGTTTCCCCAGGCAGGTCAGGCACCGACCTCTCCTTCACACCAGAGCTTCCCATGGGGGCTTCTGGTGCCCCACAGACCCTTCTCACAGAACCATGGAATATCCTGAGCTGGAAGGGACCCACAGGGATCATCCAGCCCAACTCTTAGCCCTGCACAGGACACCCCAACAATCCCACCCTGTGCCTGAGAGCGTTGTCCCAGCTGAGCTCCTCGGAGACTGTGATGCACCAGGAACTCTTCCCCAGGGGAACACAACTCTGCCAAAGCCCTGGAGACCCAGACCCACCTTCACAGTTGACCCCAGAGCTGTCCAGGGAGAATCCTTTCTGGCACTCGCAGTTGTAGCTGCCCGGGGTGTTCAGACACTGCCCTTTGGCTCCGCACAGTGAGGGCTGAGCCGTGCACTCGTTGTTGTCTGCAAAACACCCGTGGGTTTGGGGGCTGGAAAGACTCTCCTGGGCTTAAAACTGACCCCTGGGGATGCTGTGCCCGTGGGAATGTCCTGGTGGTGCCCAGGGGAGCAGGGAATGGCTCTACTCACCGATGCAGGACGAGTGGTGCTGAGTGAAGCCAGGGGGGCACTTGCAGTTGAAGCCCCCGATGATGTTGACACAGAGGAACTGGCAGTTGTGCTGCTTGGTGGAACACTCGTCCAAGTCTAAAGCAACAAGGAAAAGTGTCTCATTTTATCCCCCTGAGGTGTCTTATCCATGTAGTCTCAGCCTGTGACATCTGTGGATACACCTGGGCTGTTGTTCCTGGCCTCAGGAACAACACCCAGAGTTCTTCCATGAGAAGAACGAGCCTCTCCCCACCTCAGTGGGGCACATCTGGAAGGTGCAGAGACTTCTCCCTGCCTCCCCTGGGATCCACAAATCCCAGAGTCTCCCAGATTCTCAGCCCAGCCTCCTCACACACTGACACTGGGAGAGGTGGGCACAGCCCCAGCCTGGCAGCTGCTGGTGGCACTGACATGCAGGAGACACCCAGGTTGAAGCTCCCTGGAGCTCAGCACAGCTTGGGATAGGCTCTGAGGTCTGTAGGAAAGGGCAAGGAGGATTTTTTTCCCAGATGAGACAAGTCCAGACTGCGGGAGGATGAAACCCTCACCCACCAGTCCACAAGGGTGGCACCTTTCCCCACGTCTACCCTTGTGCTCTGGCTGAACAGAAGGACCTGAACTGCTCTGCCACATCCCCCCAGGTGCCAGGGGTGAGGCAGGGGCTCTGCTCCTCCTCCTGGCTGGATACCTTTGCAGATCTTGCCATCCTCCTGCAGGATGTACCCTCGGGGGCAGGAGCACTGGTAGCTGCCTTCTGTGTTCTTGCAGATGAAGTTGCAGGGCTTGGGGGACTGGTTACACTCGTCCAGATCTACCCTCGAGAGACAAGACAGGTCAGCACCCCCAGGGACAGGACACCCTCCACCCCTTGGACAGCTCAGCCTGCCCAGGAGCTCCTGAACATGAGGTGATCCCAGGTTTTGTGGCACCACACGAGTCAGTGGTCAGATATCCCTATGGATTCTGGCACTCCTGGATAAGTGCCCTGTTTTCACCGTGCAGGAAGACACGGATTTTGGGGGAGCACCTCAGTTTGAGGTAGCATAACAAGTGTAGGAGATCTCCTGTGATGTTGTAATCATATGAATATGCATTTAATCACCTACGAAAATTGCATAAACCCCCCTGATTTTGTGTGAAACGTTTTCTCTGCGGTGCGAACCACGCTCGCTCCCGACGTCGGCAATAAAAACACCTTTGCTGCTCCAAAGATCCAAGAGTCTCTGAGCAGTTCCTAAACCGGATTTTTTTGGGTTCACAAGGGCTGTCCAGAGGCAGGGGATCCCTTTTCCCCACTCACCCACGCAGGCCGTGCCCGTGATGTCGGCGGTGTAGCCCAGCCGGCAGTGGCAGCGGAAGGAGCCGATGCTGTTGATGCACTGCCCGTTCCTGCACAGGTTGGGCAGGACCTTGCACTCATCGATGTCTGGGGGAGGGAGAGAGGGAAGGACCTGTCAGTGCCAAGGCTGCCTCTGTGCCCGCTGCCAGCCCCGTGCCAGGGCAGCTCTGAGCCTCCCAGAGCTGAGAACCCGCCCGGAGAACCTCGCAGAGGCTTCGTGTCTGCTCCGGGCTCTGCCCCAGCCTGCACCCACCCACGTCCTCTGCACTGAAAGATGTGGCCCCAGCTCACCTCTGCCATCAGTGGAGTATCCTGGGCCATGGGGACACATCTTCTTGTACTGGGCAGTGCCAGGGAGGGGGCAGAGCTCGCACTGGGGGCCCCAACTGCGCCCGCTGTTGCAGCAGCACTCGGATTTGGTGACCAGGTTGCGGTTGGTGGAGGACATCTGGCACATGGTTTGCAGCACCTCGGTGAAGCAGAACCCTTGGCGGGTGTCTGGGTGGAGGAAAGGGGGATATGAGTCCGGGATCTGAGCCAGTGTCAGCCCCAGGGATGAGGGAGCAGCCTGTGCCAGCGCCAGCATGAAGGGGGTGTGGTTCGGTTTAAGGTGAAGGTGATGCCCCCCAAACCTTCTGCTCAGGATCAAAGAGTCACAGAATGGTTTGGGTTGGAAGGAGCTGGAAGATCATGGAGTTCCAACCAATGGCACCTTGAAGGTTATGGAGTTCTAACCCTGGTTTGGGTTGGGTGGCACCTTGAAGGTCATGGAGTTCCAACCCTGGTTTGGGTTGGATGGCACCTTGAAGGTCATGGAGTTCCAACCCTGGTTTGGGTTGGATGGCACCTTGAAGGTCATGGAGTTCTACACCCTGCCATGGGCAACCTTCCACTGTCCCAGTTGCTCCAAGCCCTGTCCAACCCAGCCCTTGACACTTCCAGGGATGGAGCAGCCACAGCTTCTCTGGGCAACCTGTGCCAGGGCTTCCCATCCTCCCAGGGAGGAATTCCTTCCCAATATCCCACCTAACCCTGCCCAGGGAGGAATTCCTTCCCAATATCCCATCCAACCCTGCCCTTTGTCAGCGTGAAACCATTTCCCCTTATCATGTCCCTCTGTACCCACATCACAAGTCCTTCTACAGCTCTCTTAGACCCCCTGAAGCCCCCGGGAAGCCCCACGTGCTGCTCCAGGCTCGGCAGGATTTGGGAATTACCGATGCACTCGGTGCCAGAGGGACTGACTTCAAAGCCCTCGTTGCAGTCGCAGCGGTAACTCCCCGCTGTGTTCACACAGCGCCCGTTGGGGCAGATCCCAGGCTTGGTCCGACACTCGTTCTCATCTGGGAGGGAGGGAAGGAAGGAGGGAGGGAAAGGGAGAGAGATAGGATGAAAGATAGAGAGAGAAAGAAAGAAGGAAGGAAGGAAGGAAAGAGGGTGAGAAAGAAAGAAAGAGGGAAAGAAAGAAGGAAAGAAGGAAGGAAAGGTAGAAAGGGAGAAAGAAAAGAAGGGAGAAAGAAAGCGAGAAAGGGAGAAGGAAAGGAGGAAAGGAGGAAAGGAGGAAAGGAGGAAAGGAGGAAAGGAGGAAAGGAGGAAAGGAGGAAAGGAGGAAAAGAGGAAAAGGAGAGAGAGAGAAAGAAGGAAGGAAGGAAGGAAAGAAACAAGGAAGGAAAGAAGGGAAGAAGGGAAGAAAGAAAGAAAGAAATGAAGAAAAGAAAGAAAAGAAAGAAAAAACCACAAAGAGCTCTGGTAAGGCAAAGAACCAATTCCATGAGCTTTCCATGAGCCCCTGTGCTACCACTCAGTTTGGAATGTCCTCCCAGAGCCCTGGAGGACCATTTCCACATCAGCTGGGAAGCACATCCACCTGCCCTGGACCTCTCCCAAAGCAAGGGTGGCCGAAATTCAGCTTCCCTGGCCTGCACATGCTCCACCTGCCCTGGCCAAGCTCCTGGCCAGCCCTGGAGCTGGGCTGGCTCCGTGTCCCTGCTGTGCCCGAGGCTGAGCAGGGCTGGGCTGCCCAGTGCTGCCCCTTCCCAAAGCAAAGCAGCTCAGGACAGACACGGAATGACCCAAAGGAAAGGTATCCCCCGTGCTGGACTCTGATTCACATGGGCCAGAGGTGAACAGAGGGTTGTGTGTGAAGGCACGAGCGGGACACCCCAGGGAGGAGGAACATAAACTCCCACGGGCAATGCCTGGCAGGGAACCATCCCCACGCCCTTGGGAGTCCCTGGCAGCCTGCCCTGGTACCTGTGCAGCCCTCCCCATCGGGCCTGCGCTGCATCCCTGGCGGGCAGATGCACATGAAGGTGCCGATGAGGTTCTTGCACAGCATCCCCCGGGACTCGCAGTCGTGCAGCCCCTCCGCACACTCGTCCAGATCTGCAAGAGAGACCCTGTCAGAGCTGCCCCTGGGTGACAGTTCTAGTCTAGACCTGCCTTGGTGACCAGTTTGTAACCAAGGGAGTGGCCATGTTCCCAGTATTCCACACGATTTTTACATAAGCCAGGGTACTGTTCGTGTGAGGCCTAGTGAGGCCTAGTGAGGCCTTGTAGGCCTTGGGAGGCAGAGGGTGCCAGCGGTGCTTGGCATGATTCTGCTATCTCAAGGAGAGTAATAAGATTTTCTTTTGCTAGTTCTTTATTGATTGCTATTGTGCATACCTGCTTTGGGTTTGTGTTTTTTTCCCTTCCCCTTTGGGGGGGTTGTTTGGGGTTCTCTTTTCATATGTACACAGTATTGTAACTGTATATAAACTGTGATGTATGTAAATATATATATTTTGTTATAGCTCAGTTGGTTTCGGGTCTTTCAGTTTCTGTAGGTTTTTTTTTTCCTTTGCCCAAAGGGGAGGGGGGAAGTTTTTGCTGTAGCCCGGGGGACTTGGTGGGAAGCCAACTCCAAATAGCTACACCCTGCCAGCCCTGGGGGGCATCAGGAGTACCCACTGCTCCATCAATCCCTGTGGCCTTTGCCCAGGCTGGCTGGGGCACAGCTAAAAAAAAAAAATCACAGAATCATAACATGGTTTGGGTTGGAAGGGACTTTGAGTCTCATCCAGTGCCTCCCACTAGCCTCCCACACCTCCCACTAGCCCAGGTTGCTCCACGCTGGCCTTGGACATTTCCAGGGATGGGGCAGGCACTGTGCCAGGGCCTCACTGCCCTGTGAGCAAAGAATTTCTTTCTGGTAGCAAAACCAGTGGGGTGACAGTGGGCACAGGCCCAGCGATGCCAGGGCAGGAGTGCTGCCTTCCCTGCACACACGTGGCTGAGAGCAGGAGCTGGGGAGGGTTTGGGAGCTTCCTGATGGAGGCGGGAGGGGCTGTTACCTCTGCACATCCTCCTGTCCTCTCGCAGGGCGTATCCAGAGGGGCAGGTGCACTCGTAGGAGCCGAAGGTGTTGATGCAGCGGAAGGCACAGAGCAGGGGGTTCAGGGAGCACTCGTTGATGTCTGCGGGGAGGAGAGAGGAGAGAACCTGCCTTGGTGCTGTCAGGGACAGGGCTGGGCCTCCCCAGGGCAGAGTCACCCCTCCCGGGCATCCAGCTCATGAGAACTTTGTTCCACCAAGGCTTCCTGCCGTGGCGGTTGGTTGCAGAGGGACAGACACCAGTGTCTCAGCAGAGGGACAGACAGCCGGTGTTTTAGCAGAGGGACAGACACCTGGTGTTTTAGCAGAGGGACAGACACCAGGACTCTCAGCAGAGGGACAGACAGCCAATGTTTTAGCAGAGGGACAGACACCAGGACTCTCAGCAGAGGGACAGACAGCCAATGTTTTAGCAGAGGGACAGACACCAGGACTCTCAGCAGAGGGACAGACAGCCAATGTTTTAGCAGAGGGACAAGACAGTCGGTGTTTTGGCAAAAGGACAGACACCAGGACTCTCAGCAGAGGACAGACAGCCGGTGTCTCAGCAGCTCAGATGGGTTCTGGCTCCTTGAGGAGGCAGCTCCTGGATTTTGGCAGG